CAGGGAAGACCCTTCTAAAAGAGTCGAATAGGTGCAGGGTGGAGATCAGGTCCTCGATGATCCTTTCGTCAGTCTCTATATATAGGGGGCAGGGGGTGGGGATTTTCCATCTATCCAATCTCCGGTCCGGGGCAACATTAAAATCCCCCGCTATAATTACTGGTACACCTGCAGGGATTCCCTGGCCCAGGGTTTCGAAGAACTCGCGTCTGTCACTTTCCATATTTGGAGCGTATACGCAGATGATGCAAATGAGTTCGAGCTCTAACATTGCTAGAATCGAAACCCATCTACCCCCTTCCTGGTCTACCACCCAATGGACCGGTGATACTCTTGAGGAAGGCGGTATCCATATAGCCACACCCGCACTGCCTGGTCTTGGTGCGTGGGCTCTAAAGGCCTAGTGTGGCCATACCATACGGTGTGCTCTGTGGTGTCCCGGTGTATCCTGCAGCTGGGTTTCTTGTATGCATATATAGTAAAGAGCAACATTGATTGCCCTGCTAAGAAGGGATTAACCGCTCTTCCAAGCATACGTAATCACAAAACAGCGATGACAGGAGAAACCCAAACTAACCAGTGACCACCTCCCATCCCGATTAGAAATGCGGTCCGGGCAACACCAATCACCACCAACTAACCCACGCCCCTCCGCTGCCAACTAACAACTCCAATCATCCCACTACAGCCACCATTAATCCTCATATCCTCCATATCATCCCTGCCAAAACCGTCGTTATCATTATCATCAATATTGTTAGCGCTGTTATCATCACACAGATTCATCAGCATCGCCATCGCTCCCAACAACACCGTTGTTGTTGTCAATCCCGTTGTCACCAAGGACACTGTACTAATTGGTATTCTTGAACTGATTGTTGTTGTTGATGTTGTTGTTGATATTGTCGTTGTTGTTGTTGATGTTGTCTTTGTTATTGTTGTCAATACTAGCGTCGTTGTTATCACAACTGTCACCTCTGTTGCTGATCTTGTTGGTGAAGGTCTTGTCATTGATGTCGTTGTTGTCATAGTTGTTATTGTTGTCGTTGTCAACGCAGCCATGGCCCTCTTCTTCACCACCCGCAGTTATATCCCCCCCAATCATATTATCGTCACAACCGATATCAGTACTCACCTCCTCCACTCTCTTCAAGTTATCGTCGTTGACCACGCTGTCGCCGACATCCTCTCCTGCCGTCGCTGTCGAAATTGTCGATGTAGTCATATCACCCTCGCTGTTGTTGACGCAATAGCTGTCAGAGAGAGCCTGCCCTTTCCGAAATAGATCGTAGCATCTGCGCACGATCCCACGCATCCGCTCCCCATCAATGAAGTCATCAAGCCCCGGATCCGGCCCCTCCTCGAACGCCCAGATAATTTCCAGCATCTGCTGTATCTTATCCTCCATCCAATCAACCATTAGGGATTCAACCCCTTGGCCCTGTAATGGATGATTTGATGGAGATGACATCACCCGCAGTATCTCCTGCATCTGAAGCTCCCCATCCTCCAGCTCAGCCAACCATGCATCTGCCCACCATTGTAAATCTTCAGTCGATGCCATATTATCTCCCAAATTCTCTGCCGCGTCGTATATGTTATGTGTCGACTGTCGCCCCGCTCTTCACGCCGAAGTTCTCCTACTTCCCCGCCAATAGATCAGAAAAAATATGCCACGTCAGCTTGCGCACGACGTGTGGCGGGACCCATAGCCAGGCCACATACCACCTGCCACGGTGGCATGGCCAGTCAGACAAAGGGCAACCGGGCCTTGCCGGAAGCGATCGCTCAAAGCATTAGCGCTCGTCGCAACGCGGCGGTCAGCCTACCTTGATGATTAGGGGCCGATTCAGAACCCACTGAATCCTCTGTCGGAAGAATCGACAGAGAAATGCAAAGTGACATGGGAGCCTAGCAGGGGAGACTAGCAGGGGACCAACCGACGCTGGCACAGACAAAGACGGATTGGTCGATGAGCCGTAGTAAGCAGTCACCATAACGGAAAATTACACAAATGGACATGAGCACCTACATCGTGTGTTCCTGGGCACACTTCCAACTTACACCACGTAATGACAGTTTGAAACAGGCATGGGGGGGGTGCAGACACCTGGGATTGAACCACGCCTGACAAATTGAAGGGGGACAGGATAGGTGGATTCGGTTGGCAATTTCCAGGGAGGGACTGGGTCAGCAGGGAGAAGGAGCTCTAGAAGTAGGAAGGGTGATTGATGCAGCACCGAGGGAAAGCCAGTGCTCCAGGCTAGGAAATGATAAGGCCACAGTTCCAACAATGATACTGCCGAGATGATGTATAAAAGGGACGCTGGACCCGGTTTCCAGCAGGTGATGCTCCCCACCAATAGATGATGGAGCAGCCCGACTGGCAAAAGCCTCAATTCTGGTGGTTCTCTTACCACCACCGGGATAGAGGCCTTGCCCAACGAGGCTTTGTTTTGTTTAAACAAAAAAAAAAAAAGCTCTTGGCGGAGCGTGGATGGAGCCGCAAGATCCACAGAACTCGGTGTTGTCTCGAGAGGCGGCGGAAATATGCTGTGACTTAAATTGCATGATAGCCACGTGGAGAGCCATGCAGCATCTCATTTTACATTGAGTTGCTTACGCGAGAGGAGGAGGTAAGGGTCGTGAGCTTAGTACTGAGAGGGCCACACTCCAGTACTGACCAACTGTGCAAAATGAGAATGATACTCCACTAGAACATGGAAAGTCTGGAAAGATACACCGCCATTGTTTACGTCTTTTGTGCACGTGGCGAATAGTGGAGGGAGGCCCAGATTCTCACCCCCTAGAAGGGATGCTGACTCGAGGCATACTCGTACTTCGTCTAGCACTTTCCTAAATGTAACTGATTGTAACTGCGACCAGACCTGAATGCACCTGCCTGTAACCATGTCCAGAGCTCAGTCCAAAAAATTCCTAGTGTGAGTATGCCCTAACAATAACAAATTCAACAATACCACTTTCATGGAGGCATAATAATTGTAATTGCCACCAGACCTGAATGCATCTGACTGTAATCAGGTCCAGAGCTCAGTCGAAAAAAAAATTCCTAGTGTGAGTATGCCCTAACAACAACAACAAATTCAACAATAAGACTTTCATGGGGTATCTGATCTACTTTAACTTATATGAATCCAACATAATCCGCGGTGGTCAGGGAGTAGGGTGGGGTGGGCCCACCTGCAGGGGATAAATGTTGCCTCCCACCCTAATAGGTGATGGTCAGGGAGTCAGGTGGGGCCACCTAATAGGTAATAATCAGGGAGTAGGTGGGGCCCGCGGCGGCGACGGTCAGGGAGTAGGATGGGGTTGGGGGCAGGTAATCCAAAGACCGAGCATTTTGCCAGTAGCTCCACCTCCCATCTACTTCCCCCACCCCCATCAAGTAACCGCAGTGTCGCCAGTAGCTCCACCTCCCATCTACTTCCCCCACCCCCATAGAGTAACCGCAGTGTCTATGGCGAGGACTCTCGCGTGCACCAGACACAATCCACACGCACAAACACACAGGGAGCAGTGTGGGGCTGCAAACACACACAGAGTAGGGTGGGGCTCCCGGCGGCAATGGTCAGGGAGTAGGGTGGGGCCAGCCTGGGGGGGATGGGCGGTTCTGTGATGGCCAAAGACCCTACCAATACGGAACGGAGGGAGCAAACCAACTATCTCAGTCGGTTGGCACCGAGACTGCAGCAGGCGGTCAGGGGAGACTGAACTGACTGAACTGACTGAACTGAACCCACGACCTCCTGAATGCCACTAAGTCTTCTGTGCCTAACCAACTGAGCTTGGCCGATTGTGGTCCATGTTTTCTTCCAAAACCACGTAAAACGATTGGTCCTGAATGGCCATTGTGGTCCAGTCCTACATCCGTTAAAATTGGAACGATACAGAGAAGGGTAAATTAGCAAATGGCCGCTGCGCAAGGATGACACGCATAAATCGAGAAAATTTAATGCCCCTTTGTGGTCCATGAAGGAAGCAGTATCATAGATCTCTCTCTCTCTTTTTTTCCCCCCTTTTTTTTCCTCTCAATTTCACCTTTCATTATCTACCTGCCACTACCGTCTTCACCCGAATAGAACGGTCGGTCATTATATCAGTATTTGGCACAACTTTCAGCCCAGATACCGCGATAATTACCCGGCGTTCTATTCGGGTGCAGACGGTAGTCGTAAGCCTGTACAGGGGACCCCTGCACGAAGCATAGGTACCTCTCATCCTTTTTCTTTTCCTGCTCTTTTTGTCAGCAACTTTTTTTTTTTTTTTTTTTTTTTTTTTTTCCAACTCAGATTCATATATTCAAGGGTCAGCAACTTTTTCGCGGAACGCAGCAGCTGTGTGATCCGATTAGTAAAAGGTCGATGATGCCAGAGAAGCGATACCACCTTTCCTATGTCTGTACTGGACAGGACAGATGGCTGTTGTATAGACTCGTCACCAGAGTGCGTTAAGTGGGGAGACACAGCAGGCTTGCTGAAGATTGCCTCCGCTCAGCAATGCAGCATTTGGCAGCTGGACCGCTGGTGCTTGTTGGAGGAATCCGCTCCACGATACAAAGGGACGTGACGAGCGAGAGGTGCACGTCATAGATTCTGTAGTTTCTCGGATTTCCGGCTTCTGGCTTTCTGTATGGAGAGCGACTATCCGTGGGGCACTGCTTTGGTACACTAAGGAGCTCACGAAGCAAAGGAGTATGACAATGTCTATCTGGTGAGTGTGTGTGCTCCAGACGGTCAGACAGAGACGCGAGTGCTGGGAAGAGGCGTTTCTGCGATTGTCACACCCACACACACACACACACACACACACACACACACACACACACACACACACGCAGACACAC